AAAAGGCAGCATGTTCAGTGGCAGACTGAAATGAAAATAAATCATCCCTTCCAGTCCCCTACCACCTCTAACACAGAGCAGAGGCACACCCTCAGCAGATTGTTCTCAGGGCAGTCATTTCCTTACAACTTCAACAGGAAGTGACACTGAGTTGTTAATCAATGTTGTCCCCACTAATGCATTAAGTCTTTGTAGGAAGGAAGTTAAAGCAGCAGCTGTTTCTACTTAGGTCTACTAAGCAAGAGTGCTCAGTGCCATGGTATTCCTGTGTGCTTCCTCTTGAGGAAACTGAGGCACGTGAAATGATCCCAGGAAAAATGCTAGGATTTACTCCAGACTCTATCCACCACTCATTTAAAGCTCTGATAACTGTAGTAAATTTAAATTTATTAAAAAACCCAAATACCAGGAGCACTATACACAATGCTCCATAATCACTTAAATCAGAAGAGTACATTTTGAAAACTCAGTATATGTTCATAGGAAATTCATTATATTCTGATTGCAGAGCACTGTTTCAACAGAGAGAAACCTAAACAGAGACTCTCTAGAGCATGCAACACATATTTCTCTCATTTGCAGTAGAGCACACTGGCAATATCTGCATGGTGTTGAGGTCCTTCAAGATTAAAGCGGGATGTGGCCCACCATCTTTTGAAGTGGTAGAAATGGGGAGAAAAAGACATTTCAGATACAAAATGCAAGGCTAAAAGATCAAAGGGCAGAAAACACCATCACACTTAAAATTAACATGTTACTGTAGAAGAAACTAGCTACTTTTTCAGAGAAACTGCCCTCTGAAATGACTTAGTACAGATAACTAACACCGGCGGAAGTCTTCAAAGGCATCTGAGGGTGCAGTGTAGGCTCATCAGGGAGGTTGCTGAACACAGAATTACTGTAATCAAGTTTTGATGTAATAAAAGTAACCAAGTACCCTTTCTGCATCAGACTTCTTGAGAAAAAAAAAAATTGAAAAAATTGAAAACAACAAAGAAACATGGTTCAAAGGAAAAGAAAGAAAATCCTCCAGACTATTATATTCCAGTGCCTGATAGTATAATAAAAGTGATCAAAAACCTGCCTGACTTCCAGGAGGTTGAGTTCCACAGAGAAGGTACAGAAGATTGGCATTTATCATTCCCAGGTCACCATGTCACACACAGGAAAAACACCCACCTTCAATCACTGAGGATGTTACCCAGGTAGCCACCCTATATGGCACTGGAGAATGTGTGGGAGAAAGGAAAAATACAGGTAAGGCAGCTTGTGCCTTGGGAGCTAAAACACCACAAGAAATTTTAGATGCCTACATGGCCCTTCTGCTACCTCCTCGCAGAGCCAGTTTAGATTAATTTTATTTATTATAAAAATCAAGTGGTGTGACAGTATTCAGATTCAGCATAAGAAAAATATCATTAGCTGCAATACAGAGGTAAAAAGATTCAACTGTTCAAAAAATGAAGATTGTTGTATTTTCATGTGGCTAAATATTTGTTTGAGAAGGGTGACAGATATCTCCTCAGTATTCACCATTTCAAAAGTACAATCAGGAAAGGAAAATAGAACCAAGGTGTGTACTGAATGTATTTACACATGGGGAGGCTGGAATTTTTGTTGTGGAGATTTACTAGAACTAACATTTAGTAAAAAATATTTATATCATACTATGGTATTTGAAATGAGTCTCCCATGTGAAGCAACATCATAAGAGGAACTCCCATTGGCTTGGGAAGTGCGTGTTCACAGTTGATGTATCTGTACGAAAGCATTCATCTAATCAAAGTATTTTGTCTCTCAAGGTAGAGTCACAGGTGTTTCATGAATGGCTCAAACCATCCTGCAAGTAAATGCTAAAGCTCAATAAACACAAGATACATTCTTCAGTATCAACCTTGCTTTTATCATTAATCGGGAAGAAAAGTTGAATGATCTCCCTGCATCCCTTACACAGATCATAAACAAAAGCAATGATGCTGTTTGTCCCAAAATCCATACAATAGCCACCTACAAAAGAGGAGTGGAAGCTCTGTCATCCTTTTGTCTCAGCACTCTTCTAAGGCAGGTCCTAAAATGTACAGTCTGTCTAGCAAGGAGATGGATGAATGATCAACAGGGTATTCTCAGCCTGCTCCTTCAGGTACAGGCTTGCCCTGCTGCACTGAGCATGTCCCGTATAATGCTGGCAAAACAATTGGTTTAGGACAAAGAATCCGCTGGGCTGCAAGAAAAAAAAAAATAAGCTGAACCATTAAACAGCAATCTTAGACAGAACAGGAAATAGGCAGCTCATGCCAGAGGCGCTGTGGATCCCAGTGAAGCTTTACAGATCTCTGCACCAAGCCATTTGTGTGCACCTCTGCTCAACACAAAACCTGCCTGACCTCTGGCCAGTCAACACTGCCATTTACTGCTCCCACTACAGGAGCAATCACATCAGAAGGGAATATGGACATCCTTAACAGGATTTGCTGCTAGCTATTGCCAGCTGCTCTTTCAAATGACTCTGTTAACACTATATAATCAAGCTAAGAGGCTACAGAGTCACTTCTGAGTGATCTCAGATTGGCCAATGTACAAAAAACTTCCCAAAAACTTGGAAGGGGGGGGGGTGGCAGTAACAGAGAAATATTTGTCTTCTATTTTCCATAAAGCTCTGCTGCTATGCTCACAAGGAAGAAATCTTCTGCAACCAGGAGAGGGATTGAGTCACACGTCACAGATGTGCCTCTCAGCTGCATAACCTGTTCTCATGTTTTCTAACCTTTTCTGATTCCAGTTTTTGGGAAACAGCAGTGCCTACAATTAGCTAAACAACATTTGCTTTTTAGCAACAATGAAGTCTGGTGTTCTCTACAGGCATTTTAACTGAATCATTGTCCATGGGAAACAGTAAGGAAGATGGCTGTGTTTTCCAGCAGTAACTGAACAAAGGAAGCCAAGTTAAATCCAGATTGTTCTTTGCTTTTCCCTGCACTATTTGGGAACGTGTGCAGTTAGGGGGGTTTTGTTGGTGATGCTGTTTTGTTTTTTCTGATAGTCATTTTGTTGTTACCTCCTCCATTTTAGACCATGAAGTATTCCCAGACCATAGCTGCATAACATTAGAATAACATTACACACTAGGTTTAGTTTCCTCTTACATACCCTGAAGTTAATTCTGTATTGAGACACCCCCTACAACAGTAATATCTTTGAAATGCCTCTGCGAGCACAGTAAAACCAAAGATTACTGTTTTCCTGCACTAAGTGAAGTCAAACTCAGTCAGGTACACTAGATACCAAGGGAAAAGGCATTTTTAAAAAATTTAAAAGTCAACCCCCTTTGGACACTTTCATCTCTGCTTTCCTGAGACACATAGGTTTAGCCTGAGGTACACAAAAGAGTCAGGTTTAATGCACTCATTGCAAAGTTACCAAGAGCCCCTGACAAAACTGGTGTTGGGTTGTGTGTCTGTTTCTAACCTTATCCAAACATAATTCCTTGAGGGGAAAACCAGAGTTTCACAGTTGTTTGTCTTAGCCACTATGAAAACCGCAGAGAAGTATCTTGGCACACAGCAAAAGCTTGGCAACACTGCTGCAGCACACATTTCCCTCTCCTCAATTACTAGTGGCCTTTTGGGCTTTTTTTAGAACACAAGTTCTAGAAACACAACCCTTATTGTTTCAGCAATACTTGGGCATAAATGGAAGGAGCACAGCAAGAGGAATTTGCTCATGCTGACTTTTCAATGTACACTACTCAGAATTCTAAAAAAGCTACCTGATGATTCCACTACCAGCCTAGGAAGCCTTCAAAACTAGAGGGTTTTTAAAACCTGCCTGTCTGCCACTCCCAGCATGTGCTAGACTTGTATGAATGTAGTACTTACAAAGGGTTTAAAAACAAACAAAACCAAAGCACAAACAAAAACCCACAAAAACCAACCAAACAAACAAAAATACCAAAACATCAAAGAGAGGATAATAAAGTCTCCAAGCGCTGTCCCTCTTTGGCCATATTGCTGAAATAAGACAGCTATGAATATGATTGTTAAATTCATAATACCCACTCCCCTCCAGAAAATGGACTCTGGATAGAAAATTCAGGTAAACCAATGAAAATTTATAAAATTAAAACAAACAACCAGCTGCTATGATGCAGTAGAACTGATTCTACAAGGTAAAAGCAAACCACTACCACTCCAAATCAAATCTGAAAGTAGAAATTTAGTTTTGATATTGAGATACAAGGAGGCAGCTGCAAAAGGAACATAAAGAGTCTCCTGTAATTTTAAAGCAAAGGAGTCCTAGTGTTTTGCATGAGTTTGAAAATCCCAGAACTGCTCAAATCTAACCTCAAAGGCAGGGTGGCAGAGAAGGGACAGAATTGATTTTGATGTGGTGTTTGTGTAGGTGGTAGCACATAGCCAGTTACTGGAAGGCAAGAATTCCAGGGTAAGCCATATCTACTGGCACAATGGACTGGGAAACATAACTAGCTCTATGGAATTTCTCCCTTCTGTGTAAAATCAAACCCTAAAGCTTAAGTTTATCTTAGAGATAAAATAATGTGTTTGAAGACAGATTCAAAAAGATATTCAAAATAAAGAAGCCTTTAAACCACAGAAGTACATCCTTACAACACTGTCTATTTCCAAACCTAGAAATTGACTTTCAGCTAAATCTCACATGACCTTAGTACTCAGCAGTTTTGCATCACTGGTCCTCAAATACAATTTAATTCCCTTCACTAAATTAAAAAAAAAATCCAAATCAAAAAACCAGAAAGAAGCAAAATGTATATTGAATGCTAGAAGAAAATAATTTTATCAATAGCACAAGTCCTAATGCGTATGGATTTTGAGATATTTTTAATAAGGAATGGTTGGCTATACTCTTCCAATCCAATTAAGTTAATGTCAAGCATATTTATCAGAAATCACAATGGAAAAATTGTCAGCTTTCTTGCTGGAAAAAAACAAGACCCATTTTACAGAAGCATTCTGCACAAATAAAGCGTTTTTAAGTGTTTTATTTGTCCATTTGGAATGATTAGCATTTATAATCAACAACATAAATCCACCCCTCAGTGAAAAACCTGACAGCTTGTTATTGCCAAACATATTACAGTCTACTGAAGGGTGAAGAATTACAGACATATAAAGATGAATAACATTATGTCACCATTAAATCACTTACTCTGTGCATAACACTTTAATCCTCCAACATTGTAAATTAAGATTAGGGGAAAAAAATCAACATTTCCAATGATAAAATACATGGTGTTTAGTACACAATATAACAATACAGTATTACAGTAGTGCATCAGAAAGTTAAAAAAACGAACAGCTCCTTTGGAATAACAGCATCATTGCTGATCTCTCTGCTTGCAGCCACAGAAGATACCAGGAAGTCTCCAAGAAGCATCCAACTACAGGAATCCATCACAGCTAAAATAATTTATTCTGAGATTATTATACTCATATTACCTGAATATGAGGACCTAAAATCAGATTCTTTCACATGTGGAGTGACCAGTGACATTCCTTAGGAAATCAGGCAAGCAATGAACAGATCTGCATCCATACTTGAAAATTACATGGAAAATTGCCTTTCATTTTTCACCCACTTAAGTAAACAGTTACTTAACATTTGGAAGTCTTCTACTAGAGTTTTAAAGTTTAGTGGTTTAAACCATTTTTCAAGGTTACTGGCATGTATGAAATTTCCAAGTATGAATAAGTAGTATCAATATAACAGCTAAAAGACACAACATTTTTTCTTACTAGAGACAGAATTTTAAGAACTCTTCTCCAAAACTGAAAATGGAAGATCAACTTTATAAAAATTTTCCAGGAATGATCTGTATAACATTAACTTTATATTAGATGACAACTTCAAAGACTGAAGTTAACAATTATTGGAATCAGCCTTCAAAATGAAGGGGATCAGAAGAATAATCTCTATAAATCAAACTACACTGAAAACCTTCAGATGTTGCCTGCTACAAATGGCCTCATACAGCTATTAGAGCCTTATCAGGTATGTGGAACAACTTGCTTGTCAATTAAACAGGATGTGAATGCGAAAAGTAGATGGACACAGGAAGTACATTTCATTAAGACAATGGATATCATCTTCCTTCAAACTGGCCAACAACAAACAGGAAAAATTCTGGAACCAATTAAACTGCAAATGCAGTGAGGAAAAACCCATTCAGTACCTCATGTTCTCAATTAATTGCTTTTTTTATAATGCAGTAACTTGGGGGAAAAAATAAAATGAAGCAACAGCTAAGTAGAATCCCTCCATTCCCAAAGATCTGAATTATCCTCTGAATTTCACTCCATGATACCTAGGAAAAGTTTAAAAACAGATATCCTTGTGTCATTACCACTGCTTGGCACACTGAACAATTCCCTCTGTCCACCAACTGCTATTTACGTTTTAATCAGTTTGCAAACCATTAAAGAAAAGGACCACTTTTTAAAAAATTTCTTTTATACCAGGAAGTGATAGTATCCATATCTCCTCTGTGCCACAGTAATACAATAAACTAAATATCATTGTTAGGCTTTAATTATTTTCTATTCAAAGCTCTAAATCTATCAAAAGAGAGAGATGTTTGCCCAAGTTTCTAGGAACAAAAGGCCAGTTTCCACATGTGACCTGACAGGGAAATACCCACGATGCAATGTTTTTACTCTTTGTACTATGCAAAAAACCCCACAATATTATCACCAACAAACTGTAAGTTATGGTATCTTTTCATCCATTTCAACCCTTTCAGTGGAAAGAGGAGGTAGATTAGAAGTAAGCCACATGCTGCACTCCCTGATCAGTCATAAGGCACATTTCCATTCCACTGAAAATAGGATATATTTTAGAGCTGGCAATGAAAGTTGAAAGATGTAATCAAGTGCATTTGGAGAACTGCAATGTCTAGTCACAGACTGTAGCAAAAAAACAGACAAAACATCTTTTTTTACTATAGGAAATCTAAGTACTTTATCCAAATGAAATTTGAGAATGATGGACCTACAAAAGTACAGGGCCCACTGGCTCATAAGGCTTACTGGCATTTAATTCTTTCTTTCACAGTGAAAGCAATGGACGTAGTAGAGAAGTGTTAAAAAATGCAGCTTAGGATGAATCTGTCTTCTGTTAATTTCTAAAGTTATCTTAGCAGTGAGCTGGTAAGTTAGGATGTTGTTATTAAAAGATATTTAAATCCAAGAATTTGTTTTCATCGTTACCTTGAACTAAAATTTGCCCCCAAAAACTGAAGGGCAAAAATCCCACAGCAATAGGGGATAAAGCTACAATCATGTTGATATCTACTCAAGTAAACCTTAAACAATTACCACGGACTGAATCCAGACTCTTTGCCAAGAGATCAATCACAGTTTAGCCCTCAGCTCTCCAGTTTGTCTTGGCTCTTATGCAAAGTAACATGAGAACCAGGTTCTCCAAATGCCAAAGCCACCTCAGCAAGCTTCAATGTGAAAGTTGTCAAACTGTGCAAACTCAAAGGAGCGAGTTCCGAGGGCAGCCCAGCCGTTCCCCGGTTTGGAAATGGTGACATTCTCCCAGAGAGGATAACCATTCAACAGTCCTGAGGCAGAGTTGCCCTGTCAAAAAAAGGAAAATGTTAGCTTTGTAAAATCCAAGGTCTGTGTAGACACTGAGCCTGCTCACATGGGAGATTAGACAAAGCAGAAGGATGTCAAGTCACCTTTCAACTACATTTTACACATTTTTCATGCAGAGATGCATCTAAATATTGTATAGAATCCTCTGGTGTCTATCAGCTCTGTGGAATATATTCCTATATAATGTATTCCTTTACAGTGAATACATTAAAGGCTCCTCTTCTCCTACTCACAGCTTTGCTAACTCAGTGTAGAACCTGAAGTGTAAACTGGTTTTCCTCTTCCTTGTATGAGACTCTTTCAAAACAGCCCAACTTTCTTAAGGTGCTATGATACACTTGGCACTGCTTCTACAGAATGAGGCAGAAGTCAAAAGTAAAGAAAGATGTAATTTAGCAATCAAGCTGAAATAAAGAGGAGACAGCAGAACTTTCAAGTATCACTCAAGCCACTTCAAGACACAAAATTAAAACATTTTCAAGAAAAATTACAATTTATCTTGTGTGTTCCACTTAACAGCAGTAACAGTATTTAGAAAAAAAGTGCTTCAGTTTACTTGCATTTCTTAATCTGAAAGTCAATTATAGACACAGGTAAAGGCAAAGAATGTATTTCAAGGAGTCGGTGGGAGAATTATTCAAAGATGGCTCTGGACAAAGACATAGTATGCTGCATCAAGCCATAAGAGGTACAAAATATTAATAACATAGATGGAAGTTTGAAGCATTGTCGTTTTAAAATTACCCACACTGTTTTAAGAGATTAATGTTCATCTTCAGTAACCAAATGTCTTGGCCCATTTTACAGATGGCAAGCACTGTCATAAATGTAAGTGTACCAAAGCCATAACTAAACTACATCTATTTCAGTGAATGCCTTAGGGGCAAGTGTCTCTTTGTCTCCAAATGTGACAGTACAAGAGGCAAAAAACAGCTTCTAATACTCAGTGGCATTCTAGCATGAGAGGCTTGGTGCATAATTTTAAGTAACCTTCAGTAGTAAAAATCCCCAGCCAAGATTTCCTACATTTCAAGACAGATGGAGTTGCAAAGATTACATCAGACAAAGGGATTAGGCACTCAGAAGAGGAACTCAAAGCCTTTTAGGTACTTGCACCAATGACACACCCATCAAAGCACACAGGGATATTTAAAGTACAGTTTGGGGCTGCTTTCCTCCCCAAGTCACTATGGGTAAAAAAGGCGAAGTGGGAGGGAAAGCAAAGAATGCAGACAGGCTTCTCATTAACTGCAGTCCATTTGTAAGTAACACAATGCCTGTGCTCTTCCAACACAATAGAGAAGGAACTCTGCTTATCTCAGTTTTCCAGTCCTTTATTAGCTCCTCATACAAGGCCTTAGTCTGCAAAGGGAACTGGTGGGAGACAGATTTGTAACACAGGCTACCTTGGTATTTTACTGACTGTCCTAAGAACAGGAAGCCAGGCCATCATCTTTCCATCAGATTAAATAAGAGACTAGCCTCTCTGACCCTTCTACCTCCAGCTTTCAATTCAGCTTTCCAGTTATTTTCCATACCTTCTACAGATTCTCAAGATATCTTTTACAATACAGGCAGCAGAATTTGGTTTGGCATTTTAATATTGATTCAATGTAACAGATACTGTTTCTGGTTTTGATAGGGTAAACTAATACTAGTACACCATCAATAGTACAGCACAGCTTGGTCTAAACTATTTAGGACTGGAGGTTTCATAACTACTTTTCCAGCTTTTTTCCTGTATCCTTACCTGAATGTTGAGAGTGAGTGTGTGCCATACATTATCCCGAACACCAGCAAGTCCTTTCATTAATATTTCTTTTCCAGCTGAAAAACATGCTTAAGTTAGCAAAGTGTTACTTCAGCTCTTTGCTGAAACTGATAAATACCAAGCCAGCAAAAGGATAATAATATCTATTTTTCAGAAGTGTTCAGGATTGACATTTTACCAATTTCAGTTGCAGCATGGAAGGCTTAATAAGCAAACCCAGACTCTGCACTATCAGTACATTCTCCTGTTTTGCCAGAACTGCTTTCTCACTGAAATCCTCAATGCACTTGGCAATTTGGCATAAGATGAGGATTCACTCTATGGAGAGTACAGGTTCACAAAGTGTGACAGTAGCTATTGCTCTGCTCATTCTATAGATCTTCTTGTTTATTTATTGTTTGTAACTATTTTAAATCACAGGGTTTCTGGTGCCACACTATCATGTTGCTCAGCTCTACCCAAAATTTAAGCTAAGCAAAAATGGGGTGTGAATGACACCTGGAGGGAAGACGAAGACCTGAAAAAAATTAAGTGCTACAAGTCTTCATTTATTTAGTAGACAGTTTTTACTGCAACATAATTTAACATTCAAACTCCCTTCCAGAAAAATGTAAAGACGACTGAAAATAGCTGTACAGAAAAAAATTATCATCTTGTGTAACAGGTCTCAGCTTGAAATAATCGGGTGGTTGATCAAAATTCACTCATTTCATCTAGGAAAAATTACTTCTGACAGCCTGAGAAACTAATCAGGTAATGTTGTTAGGTTTTATTACAAATAAAAAATTGAGTTGATCCTAAGCACAAGTATGTATTTCCATACAGCTGAGAGTTCAGTTTTTATAGAATTATACATTGCAAAGTTTCACTAAGGAGCACTGATATTTCAAGGGAAGCTATGTAAAACCTTTGTTATTCTAACTGTCTATGGTAGAAGTGGAAAGGAACACAGACACACATGCAAAAAATATATCTTGTCAGATATATTGTAGATCTAGAGGCTACATTTGACTCACCATAAACTATTGAAAATTTTAATTCATATTCCTGAAGTGATAGGAAATGCATTTAAACAACTAAATAGGCCAGTGCCTGCCAAGTGCTGTACAGATGAACACACAGGAATGTTAACATCACAAATAGAACGTGCTCACTCCACTGAGCTACACTAACAGGAGGATGCATCATTTGAGGAAACAGGAGGCCACTCATGATCCTCACTTAAGCCAGATGTAAGCACAGTGATTTGAACTGCTCTCTAAGAAAAGCCATTTCATGTCAATCAGGATTTTCCTCATGCATAGTTTAAGGATACAGGTCAAATCTTTCTGTAATTAATATTGTATCAGAGTATTTTTAAAAGCAAAATAGTTCATATTTTCTACTGTAAAGCAGACATTGTCAGTGAAAAAACAAAAACTTTAGAAAGCTGAGCCTGAGAAATGGGCTTCAGATGCTTTCTCCACATATGAAATGTGGCCATCATTAGAACCAGTAGGTTAAATTCATAGTAATGACAAATGAACTATAAAATCTGAATGTTACCTATTTTTATCAAAGTTATCAAAATGACAAGTCTATATGCCAGCATGCCCTTTTGCAAAAAACTGCTTACCTAGGTCACTAGTGACTCTGTAGGTGCCATCTGCAAAAACCCAGAAGAAAACTCCTTTGGAATCTCTCACATATATCCCACCATTGTCAACTCTTCCTGCAATAAACACTCCTCCATCACGAGGTTTTTCTATGTAGATGTCACAAGTGACTGTCATGTTTACCCTGTAAGAGAAGATTAGTGTTTTAACAAGGAAGGAATCCATTCTTTTGAATAGGCAGTATTAGAAATTATTTGATTTCCTGGATTATACTCCAGCTCAACAGTAAAGCACTGTGTTATGCATGCAATAAGAGCTGGAAAGAAGAATAAAGCAAAGTAATCAAATAGAACCATCAAATAGTACCCAGAAAATTTACACAACTTCCTCCTCCTCAGAGCTGCACTACAAGGCTCTTAACGATAAAAATTCTTTCCCTCTATTAATGGATCTACATCCCACATCTGATAGCACTTGTAACACAGATACAGCCACAAGGTCACTTACTTAAGTAATAATTATCTATAATTATTAACAGAATGTGAAAAGACTCTCTGTGACAGCAGCTCAACTGATTACTGAAATGGAGAATATCTATTCTAGCAACTTTTGTTCTCACTTCTAACAGAGTTTCATTCTGAGTTTTCATTCTAATGTAGTGCTCCAGATTCCTGAATATATAGTCATTACACAAAAAAGATTACTTTCTTGCCTTCCCATTTATCAAAAAAGAGACCCCCACATTTCCCTTAAGCCATTATGAAGAGACTCAAGGCAATACAGCAATAATTACATAGTAATACTTTCAGAATATATCCAGGTTCAATAAAACCATCAGAGAAAAACACTAACAAATTCACGGTAAGAGAGCAAAAAGGTTTCACACACATAAGCTTAAAACTCAAACCATCCTGAATTGAATAATGATAAATTTCCACCAACAACTGAAGTAAAGTATCATCCTACAGAGAAATTTAATGCAAGATTGGCTCAGAATTTCAATAGCAGGTGTTCATTGTTGAAAATATCTGCTAGGGACAAGTTGACTCTTAAACTGAGGATGAAGCAAACAAACTTGAGGGCCTGAAATTGAGGACTAGCATTATAAAAAGCTACTGATTAGTAAAACTTGAATAATAAACTGATTTTTAGGAAGTAAGTTTGGTTTTGAAAGCAAGATAAAGACTCAGAAAGAAACTGAACTAAAACAAAATAACAGAAGTTTTAGGAATCTCAGTATTTTGTATTGAGTAATTTAAATTGAGTAATTTAAAAATATGTCCTATATGGCTGTTATAGGAATCTCTGAGTATAATTTACTCAATGAGGGAATGTTGATTATAGGGAGAATATGAGACCTTTCCTAACAGAGGGCTGCAAAAGCAAACATCAGATAGCTGAAGAACAACTTCCAAGTACAAGAGGGTGGTATTCTTCCAGGCTTTGGATCAAAGTGATTCAATCATATCTCCAGGCCTGAAATTAGAAGTGTGAAGCAAGTTCTGAAAAAGCATTTGCCAGATCACTGATCTAATTAAAGTGAAAAAAAACCTGACAAAACTGCTATTTTAAAAAATGTATCAAAAGAATTTAGGCTAGGCCTCTTAGCAGAAGAGAAAGTTTTTAGCATGAAGTTTATTACTATTATTAAAATCATAATTAGTTAACGGGCTCTTTCCCGAGTGCTTATTAATTTTAAATAAACATTATTCTAAAATATGCTGCTTGATTCTGAATTACCATCATTGCAGCTCCTAGCAATTTTTTAGCTCCTAAAAAGAATTACAATTTTAACCATACTTTAATCAAAGCAGTAAACCTCAGTTACTTTCAACAGAAATAGAAGTGGTTGAAGCAGGATTGGCATCAAATCCACATAATTCTAGGAACTGCTCAGAAGATGGCAGTCTGCAACAAATACAATTGAATTATAAATGAAATAGTCTGAGAGTTATGAGACTGATCAAACTCCTAACAAATAACTCAAAATACTGTAATTCAAAATTAATCCTTTTCTTGGTCCAATTTAAGAAAAAAGAAATTCAGGGCACACATTGGTGTTTCTAGTATGCCAACTCATATCCATTAGTGTAAAAAATTAGCTTGAACAAATATGCCCAGAAGAACATAAGCAAAAAAAACCAAAAATTCTAAGGCAGTATAGCATTAGGCTAAACAATCATGAAATGTGGTTGAATCCCCATCCTTTAGGAGTCATTTATACAGCTGGCCTTTGGCCCTGGGCAGGGCTCAATGACTTTTAGAAGTGCCTGAATCATCATTCCTACGTGTCTACAGAAAATTGGAAGGCAAAAACCCTCTGTCCAAGAGAAATGAGGCTTGAGACAAATTAATTGATCATTACTAGCACTGGTGAGGAGAACATTTCCCCAAATGTCACTACAAAATAATATTTACATACCACTTAAAATTTCCTATGACACTGATGGTCTGGTCTGCATCAGAAACCCAAGTGATGGGCCGCTGAACCACCACCTGGCGGAGTGTGAACACATGATCTCCTGCGTCAGAAGCATTTACAAAGTATTCAAACACACCTGTCTGATCTGCAAAGTTTGGGGCTTCACTGAAAGGTGGATTACCTGTTCAGAAAATAAAATACACATCAACTCTAAAACACTCTTCGGTGTACTTTTTTCAGAAATTTACCACTTAAAATTTTCTCCAGATTTTTGACTTGCAGCCCCCAGATGGAAGTTTTTAAGCTGACACTGGTTTTGCAAACACATGAACACCAGGTAAGACATTAAATTAAATACACCTCATTGCAAGAGTAAGGTGTACACTCATACAGGTGTAAGTTTTTGGCAAAACAGGTATAAATGAACAAAAACAAAATAGATCTTCAGGCTACCTCATGTAGATGATTCAAATAACATAACTTACTGCCTTCCTATATTACAATTGTATCTATGTGTGAATGGAGTTTTTGGATAAGAGAATTCTGGCTTACGTATATTGAAATCATCACTGTAAATGGAAGGGAAGGGCTGAGGAGGAGGCGGCTCTGGGTAACCACATTTCCATCCTGTCTTGAGTGTGGTTAAAGTGTAGACTTCATCCACGTCCAGATCTAAAGAAAATCTTCCCCTCCATACCTGCAATTGAAGAAAGCTCAAGCTGCAAAAGTTAACAACTAACTGACAAAATACCCAAGCTCCTGAAGTCAAGATCCTCTGAAGTCCTGATTTAAGTCAAAATTCCCATTTCTTGCCTCAGCATTTAAATATCTCTGGGGTATTTTTAAAACTCCTTTTCTCCAAACTTGTTATTACCTCCAGGTACACTTGTACACAGCCAGTAAAACTGCAGTCAAACAGCCTTAAAACACACCCTAAATATGCAGCTTAAGCATGAAAGTTGAGGAGTTTCACCAAAGAGGGAAGACACACCTGAAACTGCGGAGGGACTGATAATTAAAACTGATCAACTTACCCGTAAAGGATGGAGTTGCTGGAAAAGACTGGAGTTTCCAGATTCAAAATCAAGTCTAGAATGCCACACTTGAAGGGTTTGCACCATAGACTACAACGGAACACACCATACAATTTAAAACACAACAACAGCAAAATAAACAACCTTGAATATTCAACTTGAGAAATACCAGTCCTCTATGGGTGTCTAATTTTTGTTACTTTAAAGCTGTTGATCACATTAGAGGCCACAACTTTATTCAGCGAATCAATACATATGCCTTACATTTTTATAGATTATACATCAATAAGGCATTACCCTAACAGGCCCTAATGTTGCTTATAAAGACAGGAAGCACTGCAAACACAGACAATCTTTAGCTTCTCTATCACCAATAATACACCTTGGATACAAGCTGTCTTTGAAAAGTAACCAGACTGAAATAATATCCCACAAGTTTCACTTTTATGAGGCCTTCAGTCTAGTTGCTAGTTCTTTGATTTTAATTTTTGAGCAAAGTACTTTGCTTACATGTCTCCAGCCTTCTGCAATACTCAATTCTGCATATCAACTATATTAGTATCAGATTTTGATCACACCTCATCTCTATAATTTCTTTTTAGTTACCAACATCAACAACAAAGCAAGCAACCTAGAGCTTGATTTGGATAAGCCATCTAATACTTCCCTAAAAGGGAGCTGTGTATCCAAATTGACACTCAGCTACTTTTCCTAAGTGAACCACTGACACTAAGCTACTTTTTCTTTTATAGTCAAAAGTACCATCCAAATTATCTCCTCCTAAAGGAAATTATTGCTGTCAAAAAATCAAAATTAAATGCCAAATAATTAACTGTCAAATTCTGAGAAGGAATCATCTGAATCAACTAACAATGATTCCCTCCAGTTTACACTGTGAAAGTATTGCTCACATTTCAGAGAGAAATATACTTCAGTGAAATTAAAAATACAGTAAACAAATCAACAACTAGGAGATTCTCAGAATATCTCTTCACAGGATGAAGAAATATTCTGAGAATCAACAACAAAACCTACAGTATAAAATCAACTTCAGCTATTCCCCTGAAAATTAACTGATAACTAGAAAGGCCATGGCTGTGCCAGCCCAACAAACTATGTCAGCATGTCAGAGCACCCAGCCTTGGAATATATACTAAAGAAAAATTTAGTTGCATTTCTGTCCCATTAAATTTCTTCTTCAATACACAGATGATTAGACTGAGAGGCAGCAATTTTACAATTTCAGTTATGATATTGCAACCTGTGATACTGACTTGCATGTATTTGATTATGAATGGCAATTCATTTTACAGGGCTGATCAAATGTATTCAAGATGTACTTACAAATGACCCTCTGAGGTAGAAAGTTGCACTCTGAGGTACCACACTGAAATTAGGCAATGGAGGTCTGATACATTTGGAGTGATTATGACTCTGAAGAAAAAAACCAAATGTAACAGAAGAGACATACATTACTGGAATGCAACACACAGCAACATTCATGAAAAACCTACAGCATAGAATTGAAATTAAAGGAGCAATAATTTATTTCACTGTTATCTTAATAGCTGCAATTGAAGTAATTTAATCATTTTATTCTGAATACAGATTTTAAGAAAGCACATGATATAACTTCCTCCCAGTGTGTCATTCAATTAAAGTTAATGTGTAATAAAAAGACAAAGATGGCACATATATTGGCTTCCAGGACGTCTCAGCAAGGTATTTTAAGTTCAGATAGAAAAAACAGCCTTTAGTGAACTCACTAATAAAGCTACAAGTATCAAAGAACATTCTCAGATACCAAACTACGTAAATCCAGACAGGTTCTTCATACCAAAACACCTCCTGTAACTTTTCCAGTCCACTGGAATTGCTGATGCACGTACCATAGTTTCAATGATGATGGTAAGGTTCCCTAGGCCATCTGTCAGAGCTACAAAACTGCCACCTCCTTCTAAGTGTCCATCCACTTGCAAGTATGACCAGCCTGGCTGAGTAAACTGTGTGGTGTGTGCTGAGACAAAAATTAGAATACAATCATTAATTAATAGAAATTAATAGAAATGGTAACATTTTTAGGCTTTACTAAATTTCTCTCTCATACATGCTGACAAAATTGAAACCTTATTCAGAGAAGAAAATAATAGAACTTCCAAAACAAAATTTACCTATATAAGAGGAAAGATTAAAGACTTATACTATGGGAAAATCAAAAATATCAATGCTGTGGCAGACAAAAGAGTTAAAGTGATAGTAATTATTTAGACATTAAGCACAAACAATACACAGTAATCATGTCCATTCAATTTGAATATTCATCACAGTTTAGATTTTCCCAAGTCTTTTTTTTTCTTTAAATAAAATAAATATTTCTTCTTTGACAAATAAATGGCAGGGAAAGCACAGATGGGCAACTTTGAAATAAGTAGGGTTATCAGAAAGTAAGTGAAACTACCAAAGAAGAATATGACCCAGATCATGAGAATCCTGAGCAACGTGGACATAGGAACAACTGCTCAGTTCTATTCATGGGAAACTGTGGCCAGTTTTGCTTTAATGCTTTTACAAATATAGATAACTAGCAGAAGAACAAAAATTAAAGCCTTTGTCTTGTTCTTCCTTCATGGCACTGCATAGTTACTCTACAGAACTGCAGCACAGATAGTAAAATATTACAGGACTACAAAGCAGCCAGTGAATTTGTGTGTCCACAGACACTACAGGAACATGCTTCCCTTTCCCAGGCTCAAGGAAATGCTGATTTACACAAGCCAAGAACCTCAAGCAGGAAAAGAATACAGAGGTTCTTTGTTCCACTTTTGCAAACTGAGAAGTACCAAATGGAATTGATTGATACTCAAAGATTAAAAATAAAAAGGGAAAGGAAATAGGAAAGCACATTAACCTTTACGGGCACATCAGATCCAAATATTTCAAGAGTAACAGCTAGAAAGGCAGTAGCTTATTACTTTCTGATACAGCTAAAGTTCAAGTATAAATATTTCCCTTACAATTATATCTTTCTGCTTTCTATTGAAATGGGATTATTTTCTTCTTTCTTAATGTATTCACAAAACTTTCCACAAATCTACCTCAATTTGGTACAAAAAATACTCCACATAAAACCACTAAATCAATAAAGGCCTCGGAAAATACAGTGATGTTTGGTGTCAGATCACCAACTTACAACTGCAAGATTTTCACCTGTAATCCAGATAGGAGATTCAACTTTATAGTGGCCACTCCACGGCTCCTGTGCTGTCATTAACGCGCATCGACCAAAGGGCAGCTCCTCATAATAACTGGCCACCAGGTTCCATGCAATTGTTCTGGAAGAAAAACAGGTTTTTCTCCATTCATATGGGGAGTATTAGATTAATTTAGTACAAAAATCCATTCCTCCATTTTCTCCAGCATACAATGAAAACAATTTGGGAGGTGGAGGGAATATCTCTCTGACAAAGAAAACCCACAGGAGAGGAAAATAAAGCAAATCAGCAAATCAGTGTTGAGAACTTCTTCCAAAACGGGTGGTAAATTCTCTAGCTAGAGCACCACTAAAAGTTTTACTTTAAAAGAAACATGTATTGAGGGTAAAGACACCATTTGCTTGAGGTTTTTTCCTGTTCTGAAGAGAAAAATTTTGTTAGCAAAGTCTACAGCTTTTTGCTGAGTGTTGTTTCATTGAGGTTTTTTGTCATTGCTTGGTTCTTTCTGTGTATAGTGGTAGTTGTTTTGGGTGGAGTTTTTTAGGGAAGCAATTAAGTATCACAAAAAAAAAAATCTTTATCCATGTAAATAACAAACAAAAAACAACTTTAACCAGCCAACCTCAAGGAGTATTTGCTCCATCCTGACAAGGATAATCACTTCATGCCCTTTGATTTGGGCTTCATTGAAAACACTTTGCGAAGACTTTAGACTTAGAGACCTCTGGGCCTTAAGGATGGAAATACAGCTTAACAGAGCAGTTAAGCAAAAGGCAAAAGCTGTCAATCTGTTTTGCTGTTGCACACAGGTGCATACAAAGGCCTCATTCTGAAGTCACTACCACAGACTTATCACACTATACATACACACAGAAGAGTTCCTGGAAGTCTACAAAAACGTGATCATAAAATAAACAACTGTTGAATTGTAAATTCAACTTGCTCACATCAAACTTGTTCTGTTGATTTCAAACTTAGAAAGAAAAGTAGGAAACTAAACTTCAAAGGAAACAAACTTAACAGAAAGATAAGCTGCCTTTTGTCAGAAAGATTTTGTTTTCAGTATACAAGCCAAGATAATTTCACTGTTGGACATCTGGACGTAGAACTGTTCTACAATAATTTATAAATACAACACATATGCCTTGCTGTTTGGCTGTGAAAGAAATGGGCATATATAATTTGAAAGGCCTTGGAAAAATATAAAAACAATGGGAAAAAAATTGCCTAAATTAAGATATTAAAGTATATGAGCATTAAGCAGCAAGCAGAATGATCATGAATTCGTGCAGGAAATATTCACCTGTTTGAAAATTTCAGCTTGCAGAGAAGACAGAAGATTTGTAGAAACCAGGTGACTTAAGAAATTTTCCATTACAAGTATTAGTGATTTTTCCTGCACTTCACTTGAAGCTACAAGATTTCTCTTTATTTTTCCAAAATGAAGTTATAAAGCATCTAAAAGCTTTCAACAATTTTACTCACATGTTGACATTTTCTTTAAACACACTTTTTCCTTCAGACTACCAGTTGGTGCACCAGAAACATCAAACTTTATTTTCTATTCTTTTCTCAAAATGAGTTGTGGAATTTCCCAGTAAAGAGAACATTTTTTTTTACAGTATTCAGTTTGGAATGAAAATGTGCAGAAAACAGTAAATTTATCATGCATGTTTAAGAATGGATTCTGAAAAATAAGCTGTATGGGAAAACTAGATAATTACATCTGTAATTATCTGTTTAACCCAAGACAAACAATCTGATAAAGACCTTAAGAAAAATATGATAAATTAGTTTTATTGTTATTTTCCTCTAATGTCACCTCTTCTTAAGAACATTCTCTTTTTAATAATTATCATCATTCTCAAAGGCATCTGAAATGAACTGCATAAACCCACTGCACAAACTGCATAACCCCATCAAGTGCTGGGGAATAAGAATACATTGAAACTTGTGGGACTTCTACTCCAGAAAGAGGTCAGAACAGCAGATTTCCTATATTACAATATCTGAATTCAGACCACATTGAGGTGACTTTCAGTTTACCTGTTTTCTCTCAGAGCAGATGGATGTGTTATTTAACAGCACTTTCAATAATTCTTACACCCCATGTTGTGAAAGCAAGCAACAGTGCCCAGCACTTACGCGGTCATGTTTCCATTCACGTAGTTTTGGTTCAGGATCCGAGCCCAGCAGCCTGCACCAACATCATTATTGAAAGTACTGTAATCTTCTGATGACCACAGTTTCTTCCCAGTTAATAAGGCATTTTTCACTGTTTTTGTCCCAGGATAGTGAGCCCTACACAATATTTTGAAAAGAAAGAGCACTTAGTAAAAGGAGAAAATCAAAGTTTGGAAGTACATATAGCAGCACTGATTCACTTTCTTCAAACTGAAAATGAAAAATAGAATTTCTTTGGAATACCACAAGCAGAATACAAGAATATTGAACAAGGGAGAGCTGTAACATTCCAAAGCTTATTGTATTTACATTAGTAGATTATTTCTTCTGCTACATGATAGCATTTAGTTAAACTTAGATTTACAGATGCCATGCAATTTTCACAGTTTGCTAAAGCAAACCTCAGTCCTGAAATGGAGCTTGAAGATGGTCATTACCATAATGTGCTGAATAGAGAAAATACATGCTAACTCATACTACCTTAAACTAAACTATAAATAATGTAAAATTAACAGTAAGATACAGCACTAGGCATTATGCTAAGAATTTAGCTGCATGAATCACTTAGAAATAAACATGAACTTGACTGATTTTTACATCTTTTTTAATAAACTCAGGTTTCAAAAAAACATGTTAGTTGGACTAGAGAAGTTACAAGGCATAAACTGATAATAGTTGAAACATATAAAGATAGCTAATTTTCTTTTCAAGGCCTTCCTTAGTATGAGACATCCTTTCTCCCAATGGAGACTTTGATTATACCCAATCACAACACTGACCCATGCTGCAAGGTTTGCTGACTGAAATAAAACCTTTCAAATCACTTGCAGAAAACAGGGCTGTGATTTTCCTCACTTAGCACATTCATTAAACACACTTTATACATACACAAAAATGGAACTATTTCCTTAATTGCAGCTTGACAAATTGATTCATTTGTGGCAGGAATACAAAACCAACAGTTTTTCTAGGCTGACTGTTGGGGTTTTTTTCATTATTTTCCCTCTAGTGGACAGTGACCTACTTCCCAGTGTTGCAGTCCTTCATATGCAGCTTCACTATCAGTAATGTAACAGATAGTGGGGATTTTAGCTACATTCTGCTCTGCTGTACAGATTAGTGTGTATTTCCCCTTTGGCTTGGAAACCTAAGTATTGCCTTAGTAGCAAGCATAAGATTTCTGTAATGGTATAAAGTGCACAGCTTGCAAAAATAAAGCAGAGAAGGAATAATTTGTCTTTCTACACTCCTGAAAATGTGTTTCTTAAGTGTCAATATCCCTGTCCAATAAAAGTTGAAATACACAAGAGATATTTAATTTCCTTGCTAAGACTGAGTTAGAGTAGGGATGTAAAACTTACACTTATAGAGTTAAGAAAATACAGCTTACTTAGACAGTGTAAAAACTATTGAGCTTCATCCAGACATGATCCAAGACTCCACCTATGAAAAACTGCCAGGATACTCTGCATGTTCAGAAGGGGGGAAGGGGTTAATTGCAAGGGTACATGACACTGACTTCCTATTTGTATTTGCAGAAAAAACCTCATTTCTACACCTCCTATGGTTCAGATATATAAAGATTAATGGAAAAGACTCAAATTGAAGCAAGGAACTGACACATTTGAAGCATGTGATTGGGTCAGGCAAGTTTATGGGACCTAGTAAATAAAGTTTAGAGCTACTGTAAAAAGAAAAGTTAATGAACATTTCATACACACATTTCCATTCAGCCATCAATCAATCTCAAATTCAGTCTACTAGTAAAATATTATTATGATAAAACCCAAAACTAGTATTAAAAATCAACTGGTTCCATGTTTTCCAAATACAAATTTGTCATCAAAACAAAATGGGAGCTAAGAATCAAGCCATTGTAACACAAAGAATCACAGCCCAAATTCATTTCTGGATCACAAAATTTCAATAACAAACCAGTAGAAATTACAAGGCTGTGTACTAAGTTGTAAAGCTAAAGCACTTTTTGCATACCAGTTAAGAGTAACCAAAACCCTAATAACAGTGTTGTCCAAAAAACCTTCCATCCATCAAAAGTGCAACCATGCCCAACAGGAATCTTCAGCATGATAAAAGACTCCTGATTCAATTAAAGGTTGAGGCTGTTACTGGGACAAGAACTGCATGATTTGATTGGGTTAGTAAGAGAGTTTTATAGTATCAATCCTTTCCTTGCAGGTAAGAGTACAGAGAGGTAAAGCTTTGTCTGTGTTAGTTATAAATAAGATGAAGACAAAATATAAACAAACCACCAAGAAAGAAGAAGAGAGAGAACCCCCTACCCAATCACATCGACCACTCCGTGGAGCTCAGAGTCAATCATCATGACAAAGGAAATGGGCTCCCACAGTCTATCGCTGGCTATGATCCTCACCTGCTCCAGACCATGCTTATCCAATGTGTACCTCAACAGCTTGGGAAAAAAAAAGGAGAGCAAAGAACAGAGAGAAGAAAAAAAAATGTTTTTCAAATTGTCAAAACTTCATATTGGGAAAGGCAGCATCTTCTTCAGCACCAGCTGAAAAAACTACTATTCTTCAATTCATGTTTTTGCAACTTGGACAACAGTTACACCAAACAGAACATACAAGACTGTCAAGCACAAAGTGACTTCAAAGGACACCTTCTTCTTCTACCATTCAGAATTCCAAAATACATGATAAAAAGAAAAATTTAAAATGTTTTGTTCTTCTTACAGACACAAAAGTACAAATAAAGACAAAGCATATCACATTTCATGCAAGATTCTCTATTTGCAGATCAGCCACTTAGACGTTACAGTGCTGACAGGTAAAATATACGATGTGAATGAACTTTCTGAACCTGAGCATTTGAAGGACAGACACCTAATACTATTATCTTTCACTAGGTCAGCAAGAACTCTCTATGGTAGTTAGTACCCTAAAGTCAGCATTGGTTAAGAAACACGGTGTTCTTGTTTTGTACTAACCTTAATTTCTTGATAGATAACAAAACCAAAGTTTCCTGCACAGGAAAACTTAACACTTCATTTTTTGTAATCAGTGGGGATTTGGTGGTGGGGAAATTGGGGAAAAATCTGTATGACATTCAAGAAAAAACTCTGACAAAAAGAACTTCCCTTTTAAAGAACAGCTAAAACATGTCTGTGGTTCTAAAGGCACAAACAAAAACAAGTACTCCCGTCCTTGATTCTGCCAAGCTCTTAAAGAAGCAAGAGCTGTACACAGTCAGTGCATTCATTCAAGCTGTACTGTCATGGAAATGATTACTAAAACATTTCCTAATGCACCTCTTGAGCTGCAAGTCTTGCCTAACCTAAGAAAGTTTTTTTAAGTTTATTTTAGACCAAAGGAGTTACTCTATGCTGACACTATAATCAGGATTTCTCAGGCAGCCACCTTCAGGTGAATGATGTTTACAAACTTACCACATACAAAAGCAGTTTCTTCATAAAATCCCCACTTAACTGACTTGCTATAACCCTTCAGCCATGCATTCACTTAAACTATGATGAGCATATCATACTTCCTTGCATACAGAGAATAAATGGTACATGAGCGACCACAGGAATGCTCTTATCACAGTAATGTTAACAACAGAGATAAACAAGTTAACAAATGTAATACAAGTGAGCAATTTGTATCTGCACAGATAATTATCACTGGGAATGTGTAATTTTGTAAAAACTACATATAATTTTGAGAAACCAGAGTTTACAAAAAGAGCAAGAGCAGCAGAGTAAATTGCCAGAAGCAAGTAAAAAAGTGCATTATGGAACAAAAGTGAAGGTAAACAGTTGAGTTGACAGTTGCTGAAAAACCACCAGAAAAAATTGAGATAGGCTGTATTAGTTTACAAACTTTGGGTGCTTGTTTTTACTTCTAAGTTACTGTCAATGCATGCTTTGCTAATATTATCTGTTATCAGAAATTAAACAAGAAAGAAACTTCTAGCTCTAGTATATGACCAGAAAAATCTCAGCTGTAGCCACAGAAAGTCCCAGGGTGATAAGTTCCACTCTGAAAGCTCAAGTTCATCCAAAATGAAAGCCAGTTGCAGACAAAGAATCCAATCCAAAGGTTTTCTGACTTGGAACATGCACATGCAGATTAGTTAGAAGCTTCCTGTCATTTGCTAGTGCTAAGAAACCTAAAACACAGCTCCTAAATGGACACTTGAAAGAAATTATAGAAGAGTGATAAGGTCAGCTTATACATGTACTAAACTGAAAGAAGAAAGACAACACTAATCCATCACCACTGTACACAATGATGGAAAAAATGGAAACAGCTAGGAAGTATGAAACAAGAATATATGACTCTTGAAAATGGAGAGGAAGACTTAGAGATAGGAAGGGATGTCTAAAAGGCCTCCCTTCTCCCACACTTACCCGACTACCTCAATAGCCTCATTAAGATAGGGATCAACTATCATCTCGTTGGAGATGCTCCAATCTCCATCCGCAGCGATGATGCCAACGTTCCACAGACCCAGTCTGTCCAAATAATGTCGGAGCACCTTAGTAACAGATAACACCACTTAAAGGACAGCCTTCATCAATGAGGCAACATGAAATTTAAGACTGAAAACAAGAACTTCAGAAGGAGTCAGTGGAAGCCTCTATTTACAGACCATGATGGATAAGAAAAGTTCTCACTTCTCAAACAAGAGTTATGGTGGCAACTAAGACGAAGTTAATAGTATTTTTAAAACTGAAGGGTTACCTCTGAAATTGAGATGGTCACTACACAAAAATGGGCTTCTCATCACTCGGATAACTTTTGACACCACAAGTGCACACATATGTGGAGGGATGTAAGAAAATAAAGATAGTGCAGAAGGTAATCTCACCCCTGAGGAGTTGCAGCTGCACTAATCACCAAAGATTAGGAACAGGCCTGCCCTTAATAGGCCACAGCTGTGTCCAACAAGAAGACAAGCACTACAAAAGAGTGGTTAGCTGGTTGAGGAGAGAGACGGAGTTTGTTGCCAGTGCTGTGAGGAGACTCCTGTGAGAAATCACGGAGAAGGTATGGAACTTTTGCAATAAGATGACAACACATATATTCCACTTGGACACTCTATACTGACTCCCTGGCATGTATGTAACTCATTGCACAAAAGTAATAGATTTATCAAGTCAGTCAGATTAAACTAATCTAAAAATGACAGCTGAAATGTGGAAGTGAACATACATCCTCAAGTGGTCAGAAGAAAAAGTTAACCTGATGTCCAAAAAAGTACATTGAAAAAAAACAGGGATTGAAGTTTTAAAATAGAAAAGACCTATCCATGCAGCTCTTTACAAGAACACAAATCTGTGCCAAACACCTGTCCTGTTCAAGTGAAGAGCACCTAAACATTTTTTTCACTGCCCCTTTTACTGAACCAAAAATCCTTGATGTTTTAAGTGTTTAACATTTATGTTTACCCACTACTTGGTTCTCATGTTTCACTAACATTCAGGGAAAGCAATGAATAAAACTAGAATTGCATATTTACAACAAAACTGAGGGCAACTAACTTTGAATTCAAACATGCCAGCAGAAAAGAATTCCTATTCTGTCTTTACAGCTTCTCTTTACTATTTCACTGTTAAAGATGATAAACAGCTCATATTTGTCTGTGTAAATTCTTAGGTAAAATATACCCACACAAAATATACTCAGCCTTAATAGTTAAGAATGAGCCACACTTATAGAGAGCTGGTACTATCTGAAAACTCAAACCAGAAATTAAAAAAAAAAAAATTAAAAAATATATTTTCAGCAGCTTGCACACACAGCTGCGTCTGAAAAAAAAAAAACAGTCCACAGTCTAAAATGTTTTTTTTTTCAATTTTAGATATAAAAGAATGATGCACTGTGTGCATGCATGCATAAAAAAGATTTTGCAACTTGATTCAAAGATCAGTGGGCATAAACCCTCAAATTATTTCTTGTAATAGCCCTCAGGCAATGTGAAGAAGAATAGGGAACATTTCTCTTTTTCATGTAGTCAAATAAGAACAGAAATAAAAGTCTAAGTGTAAATGACAATCCAAGCCTAGATCTAAAATGTACATAAAACTTACTAAGAAGAAAAGTAGCAATGAAGTTCTGTTCAGCTGTTTGAAACTTTTGAAACACAAAGTTTTCAAAAGAAAAATTCATAATACTAGAAGGTCCTTGAAATTTAAAGCATTCTAGCTACCCAGACACTCAGAAAAAATTGCCTAACAACAGAGACAGCTCAGAAGAACAAAATTAATTATTTCAGAATTTCCATGCTGAAAAGAAGTACCACGGGCACAGAACTGCATGCACCCAAAACACACTCCACATTTGCAGAAGAGTTCCCTCACACACAGTATTCATATAACTGAAAGAACAGGATTTTCTTGAACAAGAATTTAGCAGCATTAGAGTCTCCATTTCTTTCTTCTTTTTTTTTTTTTTCTGCTTATTCAGAAACATAACTAGTGCCTTAGAGGATGAAGTATCTAGAATAACATTTTACAAATAAAAACTTAGCCAGATAGCGAAGAGCTTATCTGTGATGTATTTAACAGGAATTACAGAAAATGTTTGGTGTGGAGCAGTACATTTCAGTATATTGCCCTCTTGCGAAATGGCAAACAGAACTACAGTGCAGAGGAGAGAAGTGCTGCCAAGTGACACTGTAAGAGAATGAATGGTAGAACAGGTGTTCAATAAAAAACCTCTTATCAGTTAACAGTGGAAGGAAGGCCAAAACCTTTCAGTAAATACTTGGGTGATTTTATGGTCAAATTTTAAACAAAATATTCAGCTCTAGAAGCCAAATGCTCAGTCCCAATTCAACAGTGTTCAAAAAGCTATAAAGAAGGATGGTGGCCCTAGACTCAACAGTTTGTTCTCCATATTCTTTCCTGCCACATGAGCAAGCCAAGACAAGCAGACAAGAAAGCCCCAAGGTGACATGACACAGATTTGAGATTGTTCAGCTTGAAGAGAAGGTTTTGGGGTGACCTAATTGTTGCCTTCCAGTACCTTGAGAGCCCACAAGAAAATATGGAGAGGGATTTTTTACAAAAGCATGTAGTGACAGGACAAGGGGGAATGGATGGCCCCTTCCCTGGAAGTGTTCAAGGCCAGGCTGGATGAGGTTTTGAGCAACGTGGTCTAGTGGAAGGTGTCTCCAACCATGGTAGGAGGATTGGAACTGGATGATCTTTAAGGTCCCTTGCAACTCAAGCCATTCTATGATTCTCTGAGTCTTGTTTGCTTTTTAGAAGAGGTAGTGTCATTGTGTCTTAGCCTCAAGCAAGAACAAGGAAAGGAACAAAGCAGGAGCTTGTGCTTAAGATCTCACCACAAGACAATATAACAAACAGAAGAGAGTTTCCAAAGCAGGGCAGGGGGCACTGCAGGAACGTTCAGTAGTGAGAAATCTTACAGCTATCTTAAGGTTGGTTATGTGAAACACCATGTTCTTCCAGCTTTCTAGAACAAAAGGTACTGAATTTTGCAAAGTTAAAAACACAAAGACTTTACTGTGATTTAATAGTAATATTTAGGGGTACTGTTATCACAGAACTTAGCTAGAGAATTTTAGGCAATTCTAGATCTTGGACTTCTAGCTATATCCAAGCTGGTATAAAGATTATTTAATTTTGTATGATAGTAGCATCAACTGAAGCTTCCAGAAAAATTTAGAAGGATTTAGCATACAATGACATGCCCAAAGTTCAAAGTAACAGTTTCAGACAGACAAAATAAACACTCTAGATATCTGAACATGTAATCTTTCCATGCATGCAACTACAAGAAACACAGTTCAGTAAGTGACATAGAATTATGGTCCCTTTCCTACACAAATTCAGAAAGCTAATTGTTTGTGTACAGTACGACAAGCACTTTACAGAAATAAGAATACATACCTTAATGTATTTGCTACTAAATGCCCTTTCATTCCATATCTATAAAGAGAAAGTAAAATCCATTTAGAAAAATCAGGATACGTCAATGGAGAATTAAAAGATTTCATTTATATATAGGTAAGATTATAGAATCCATTAATCAGCTCCATGGTTTCCGTGTGCCAGAGGGAAGTGCTGGCTGATTTTGTTATCAGCTTTTCTGGGGAAAATTCAGTATGAAAGTTCCTAGTGGGCACTTGTTTATCTTTCTCTAAGGTCTGCTGATTGCCTTCTCGCTGACAAGAATGCTAGAACTGCTTGAGCTCCACAATGGCAGCAGTGTTACATTACCAATGGCTCTACAGTTTGCTAGGAATCATTGAGAAACACGTTGTGGCTTCAAGGTGTGGCCTAATGAATGGGCCCCTGTTGCAATACATGGGCATATGAGAGCCAGAATAACTAACATATTGAACAAAATCTGTGAAGTTTACTGTTCTTTCTAATTTACACAGGACTACATCCAAGCTTCAACACAAAAGCGTATTTTAAGTAAACAGACACAAAATGAGCTAATTTCTAAATTTTCCATCTTTTATGGAAAGAGTTTAAGCTAAACACAGCTGAAAATTCAAAAGCAGGAGCACTGATCTTCCATTCTACCAAACCCCCTGGCCTATAACACACATAGGCAGAAACCATTTTTCTTTCTTTTTGAACTGCAACATGAACACTGTGACTCCAATAAAGGTTTAGCTTAGGAGTAAACACAATTTATTTTGATATTTCTACATCTTCCTCTAAATGCTAACATGAAACTTCAGGAATGAGTCAATCAAAACATTACTTAGTGCAAGGCTCATCTCATCATAAAGCAAATAGTGACACAGAACATGTACTTACAGCAAAAAGAGTGGAAAAGACTAACCACACACAACCATAATAGCACTGAAATTGTTTTGACAGTTTCTGAGCCTTCACAGACCTCTCAGTGTTTCCCTGCATTTCAGATTATACTCACAAAGAAATGAGACAACATGTAATATCATCACATTGCCTGGATAAGCAGAAATTACCTTTTCTTAGAAGGACAGAATTTAGAAAGCTGATTACTGTAAAGTAACAACACTGAAGTCAATATTACTCAACTACATGAAGTAAGCAGAACTCACTTTCTACTCCAAGAACACAGGGCAGAGAAAAATGTAACAGCAATTGTTCTATCTCTCCCCCAACTGAAGTGCTGAAGTATCACTATGTTACCCACAGTGCAAGACTGACCCAACTGAAATAAGCCAGCAACACCAAGGGGGATGCATTCCCCAGGAGATACAGGAGAGATCCTGGCGTTCCCACATTGCAGCAGAAACATCTGGCTTCTAAGGGATGGGAACCACAGTTTTAGAAGCTTTGTCTGGACTGCTGAAGTGATTTTCAGCTTTTCTGCACTTAAACTTCTCATATCAAAACAATTAGGACTCCAAAATAAGTGTTCAGTAAGTATAGGACTGATTTTAGAGGAATCCTAGACACACTTTCTTGCTCAAATAGTGAACTTGAAGAGCTTTTTCAGATTGTCTGCTTCTCTCTCATCTCCAATTTATGACATTTTTTCTCAGACATTCATTCACTACTTCCCTATACTGCAGTATAGGACACCACAATAGTTGTACTGTAAAACATGAACTTTTATCTACTATAAATGACTCAGGTAAAAATGCAAAAAGTTGTAGAGGACTGCTCCTCTGCAAAATAACAACCATACCCTATGCTAAGTCATGTTAGCTGACTTTCAAACTGTGTTAACTGATGCTTTTGTTATGTGGTAACTGCTGAAAGGCAAGCAGAACAAAAGGCAGAAAAGGAAAAAGAACTCTCAAGTTATTTGGTAACTGTTTTAGAACTGGGAAGGTAGGAACCACTTGACATTTTTTCTGCTTTAACAACCATCGTTTCAGGAGGACTGTATACTAACACTACTGCCTTTCCCCTGCTAACAGCACAAGATGAAACTGCAATTACAAAAATATTTCTCTTGCCATCCTCCTCCTCCTCCAATCATCAACAATGAGAGCCAAGATCAAGATTTTAGGAGTGAAGATAGATAAAATATACATAAAATACACAAGAAATTTTGCTTTACTGACCCCAATATAATCAATGTCCAAATCATGATACTGTTTTGCTCCTAATATCCAAGAAACAATATAGTAAGCAGTGATATCTGGATAGTCATAGGGCCAATTTTCACCCTTCCCTATCCATCCTGGAAATGCCCAAGGTAGCCCTGGAAAGAGAGAAGAAAAACAAACCAATAAGGTAAGTGGTTGGCTTACATTACTCAATAAGCTTAAAGAGCAAGTTGTAATTTGCTCTGCCTGAAATGAAGGAACAAATATGCACTTGAAACTGGCTTGGTTCCAGTGAAGTCAATGAAATGTAACTTTTCCAACTGCAGAGCATGGTCTAATACAAACTATGATCAAACAATTAATAGCTGCTTTTTTTAATGAGCTAGGAAGCATTCATTACTAGAGAACAACTGACTACATATAATTTGTCAGTTTTATGGTACTAGCTCTAAGTAGTTTAAAAATCCAAAGATTTTAGGATAAATATTTACAAAGCTAAAGTAAAGGTCAATACAGAACATGAAAAATTGTTTATCTCATGAATATGAACTTAAGAAGATATGATGATCTGATCATAACAGAAGAAGGAAGATTAGGATAATGAAAAATCATTTCCAAGTCTCAGCTGTTCACTGGATCTTGTGGTAAATAAGAAAAACAAATTAATCTAACCAGATGCTGCTAAGCATCCAGCCAACTTGTAGAAGATACCATAAGCTAATTTAAAAGTAAACCCTCCTTCCTTTATTGAGAGCTTGATGTGAGGGAAGAAGGATATTATTAATAATTACAATTAGTCATAAATAGTTGGCCTAACAGAACATGACTGGCAAATCCTGCACCAAGCTTTGCTTCATGGCTAGATATGATAAAGCCCCCTGGAAGTTGAGGAAATTAAGACACCTTTTAACCAATAGACTTCTTACCTTGTTTCATGTGAAATACATTTGTGTTTCCAAAATACAAAAATACAGCCTAGGGTTCCACATTTGTATTGTCACAACACACACATAACTCACAATCAAAACAGGAAGAGAGGAAACTCCTCTTACAACTCAACTACATATGTAGGACATATCAGAAGACCAGAATCACAACAGTGAAGAAGAGGTGTGTGATTGGTTTGTAATAAGAACATTTAATCAAATGCAGTGTGTGTAAGATTTACATATTTATGCTTGCAGTAACTTTACTTTATCCCTCCCCATTTTTTTACTCGATTATTCAGAAATTCATCTCTCATGATAAATCAATCATGCTCATTGCTGCAATACACTAAAAGCATTAGTTACTTAATAAAAGCAAATTATGAGATTTGTTATCTTATGCTTCTTGTCAGGATGTTGAGCTGTTGTAAAAAGGTAGAACACAACTAACACAAGCTTAACAAATATTAGAGATTCTACTTTGTCTACTGCAACATCAAAACATCTCTCCATTAAACTGTTAACTAAGGGTCAGATAGGTAATTTAGTCAGGGGAATAAAAAGGCATTTAAATGTAAAAGCTCAAAGCAATTTACCAATCAGTTTAATTTTGGGGTTCCTCTTTTTGGCTTCCTTCATCAGCCACCATTCATAGCCCCGGAAGTAGTTCTCATCATTCTCATAGTGCATATGGGAGGGTTCAGTGCCATCTAGGAAGGAAAGGGACAGGCAGCTCACAATTATCTCCTGTGTCATGAGCTGTTACACATCATAAAGTTTGCTGCATTGCTCACTGACATAGCATGCAGGCACGTATCTCCTGCATGGTTCACAAGTTCCCTGGTACGCATTTCACAGCCAAAGGAATAGTGGGAGGTAAATGCAAGATTTTCTACCCTTTGTTCTTAGCATGTTAACTTAGCATAATTTTAATATTTTTATTTTGAAGGGGTTTTGCCTGCTCTTAACATCAGATGTGGTTAACTATTAAGCATTTTCTATCCCTAGCTATGATAACACTAAATCTATATTTGCTATTGTCTCATATCTTGATACTAACAACCACTAGGAATGTTACAGCATTAAGATTAAGAGGAAAAAAAATCATTATGCAAGCAAATTATCTCTAAACCAAAAAACAAACAAAAGAAGGTTATAGTTTGTTTCTTCTGCACAAGGCCAGGGAGGGAAAAGAAAGGAACTACCATGATCTTTTTCAATTACAGGAAAGAGGTTGTGGGGTTTTTTATTTTTACAGCAAAATATCTAGTTTCTAACTTTCATGGTGTTCTGTGACTGTAGGAAAAGGTTTTGGAATTTAATGCTAGATGCTGAATTTCCTCAGGCAAAGGTAAACAAACTAGAAAGGTCCAAAAGAATCAGTGTTGCATGGGAAATCACTACACACAAAAGTCAAGTAACAACTTGTATACATGACTGCAACAATTATGCAACAGATTTTAAATTGTATGCGGAGACCTTTCCTAATGAAACTTTGTTTTAAATGAAGCCTGCTGAAACAGCACATTTCATCACAGAAAATAGGATTGATTTTTTTTACCTTACTAAAAAAGATAAGTTTGTCAAGGACATAGAACAATTAGACTGCAAATTTAGGTTTCAGATCACATTTCAAATGAACTCCTGATCCCACCTCTCAGGCGAGAAGAAGAGCTGCAGTCTAGTGCACTGATATATATGCACCTTATTGTTCTTCTTTTCAAAACTGGACCATTACACAATGTGACATGTGACAGTCTCCTGAGCCAGCAGTAAGAGTTTGAAGAGAAGGTCTGTGCATGCCTCAAGATGATTCCATTCCCTCCACCCAGCAATTCATTGCCAAGCTCTTAAACCCAGCATAGTACTTTTCAGCATGTTAATTTTTGTGAAGTAAACACAAGAATGAAAAACAGTATCTAACTATACAAAACACAGACATTACAGGAAAAAATGTGTATGTATACAAATATATATATACACAAGTATACAAATATATACATACATATATATATATATATATATAACACCACAACAACACAAAATCAAATACTGTGCTATTTATTAACTGTGTCTGATGTGGTCAGATTTACTTTCAGAAAAATACCAAAAAAAAGATACAAGCTGCAGTCTCTGTTTCTCAGCTTTTGGTCACAACATTTACTAAATAGTTCCTCCTGTATGTAAATGTGGTAGACAAGCTAGGCAAATTACATCAAGATATTTTCATTTGCAATTCTTCCTAGGAAGAAAAAAATTCCTGCCTACTGGAATTGGCTACTCCAGCCAATGCCACTCTAGTGAAACATTGCAGCTAATTAAACCAAAGAAATGTAACTGTTTCTGATCAGATGCCTTTGCATTTCATGCTTTTAAGATATAAACTATCTGGTATTGCAAAACTTGCGTGTGAGAAATGCTCTGCAACTCAGAAACCTACAATAGGGGGGAAAAAACAGAACTCATTTGCTTTAGAATGGAACCTATTAAACACAGGATGGTGAGAACTGCTTCCAGAATGTAGGTGCAAATCTCTCTTGTACAAGCCATCATGGATTATTGCAGCTCAGTTCAGGTATCTCCGTGCCTCAGCTCCCTGTGCAGCACACATTACTTACAGCATCACTGAAACAAGAAGTTAAATGCTGCTCCTGCAAAATCCATACCTGTTGACTGTGCATCACCTCCAATCTCTACCTTGAGAATATGTAAAGATGCACCAAAATTTGGCTGTGGAAAAAAGAGACAGAAAACCAGATAGAATCCTGCTGTTAACAACAAGAATAAGTCAGTGCACAGTTTTGAGCATGCTGAAAACGCAATTTTTTTACCTTTTCAAACACCCAGTATAAATAAAATGAGAGATTATATAAATTTCTGCTTTTCAAAAGAAAATCTTCCAGGATAAATAGTACACTGATCTTTAAACAGTTTTATTGACTCTTGCAGCATTAACAACACTTCTCCACAACTATGCAGAATTTAAATAGATTATGCTCAAGAAAATACTAAAGCACTGCTAAAGCAGAACACAGAATACATGAGGAACACAGCAGTATTTTAATGTTATTAGAAGCCAAACTTGTTTTCTTTTTGAATCAAATTATTGAAGTCAGTATTTTTCATTCATTTTTGTAAAGTGTTACACTGCTTATGTGAAAGAGCATACATACAGGTCAGGAATAATCTGGAAACTACAGACAGATAGGCAAGAGAAGAAAAAACCCACCACACTGGAAAACAATTGGCTAGTCCACCATCCCCCTCCCCAGGCATCTGGCTGCTGGAGCCAAATATAAAATTCAAGCTCATACAGGTGATTCGACTGCCAATATGTTCTTCCAGCCATCAGTGGCTTAAGAGTTGCTCAAGCCAGAAGTTACAATTAATCATTATTTTAACAACCACTAATAAGCTGGCCTCCTCCATGGAATGACCCAACTATAATTTTGGTATCTAAAAAAATGTTTTAAGACATAAGAATGCAATTTGATTTTTAAAAAATGCTGCATACATGACATGCCTTTTTGCTTACAAGTCTGGGATTTTTGTTTGCTTTTAACAGCAAAGAAACTATTTTCAATTTACCATTTCTCTTTTTGACTTCTAACCCATTTGTTCTCCTGTTCATGAACGTTGACTGACACTAAAAGACAAGGAGAATAAGGCAAGGTACACCCCTCCCAAACAAGACAGTTTAAGTGGTTTTGGTAAAAGAAAAGTTCTTTGAAAATCATGATCTCTAGATTTTCTGTTACCACATGCCTAATCAGAACATTCATATTAGTAACACACAGTTTTAGTCTCAAAAAAAACCATCAGCTTTGGTTCCCCACGCACATATTACACCTTACTCTATCCCTGAAAATTAATTCTTTAAACTGCATGGTAAATTATTCCCCTCCAGCCATCTGGATTGCATTACTTGAAAGTGACATGACATCCTCTTCCAGCAGAGTAATTTACAGTGCCAAAAGCAAAACAAGCTATTAATGTCCAGTGCAATAATCTTACCATATATTAAGTTGGGTAACTCTGCAGGTTACACTTGTTAACTAACACAGCTTCCAAACCAAGGAACTTCCTACACTTTCTAGAGTCACTGCAGTTGTACTTTGAGACTACTTTAGAATAGATATGCTGTTACAAACCTGCAGCCTTCAGAGTCATTTTTATGGTATGTTAATCTATCTGTACTCCAAAAAAATCCAAACTGTCTCTAAGACCCACTTGCTTCAATCACTTCAAACACCCCATTTTAGCCACAGAAACAACTTATGATTTAGCCCCCACAGATGATCAAATACATAGTTAAAAATTTGAAATTTTTGAAAACATATTTTCAAAACACATTGTGAAAACACAAAAGGAATTTTCACAACAATACGAAGAAACAGTCTCCTGAACAAAAACGCCACCTAAAATTTAAGGTTCTGGTAACAATCAGCTGTAAAATAGATACTTTACAACACGGGATTTTGTGTAATTTCAAGCAGCATAGAATATACTATAGAAGTTCCCATTTTACTCAGTAAGAAATTCTGCATGAAATCAAACGTTATTGCAGGAGTAAAACCAGCTTTACCTTGAACAGGTAATCTAAAATCTCGGAGCGGTAAGGTTCTGGGTAGTTCACCAGGAGTCTAGATGTGGCCTAAAATGGAAAGAAAACGTGAAAATGTGACACACAACTTTCAAATGTTTAACTACATTCTAGCTTTTCATTCTATGCCTTTCACAGAGCTCATAAACCTACAAAAATAATTATAGCATCAGGAACTCAGCTAAGCCCTTCATAACTTGTTTCTAAACCTTCAGCTGTGCCTTTCTGGTTTCACAGGTTGCAACTGCCTTGTACTCCAGTTACCTGGAATTTACTGAAAACAGAGTCCAAAGAGCAGAGAAACAAAGGGATCACACGGCTTTATGACAAGCAAAAGGCAGCTCCCTCTCAGCACCATTTCTCCTGCTCTACTCAGCTCTCCCTGCTTTGGCTCACCATATGCCAAAGCAAGGGGAGCTCACAGGGCACACAGGTGGGAGGCCAAAGAAAGCAGGTCGAACAGGGGATAAAAGCTCCGGGAATCTCACGGCTCTGCTGCGGGGACCACACGAAAGACGACGAGCGGCTGTGGCTTATTTTAAAACGTAGGGACTACTAAGACCCTCTGCATAAAAAGCCAGCCCGGCTTAGTTCTCCTTCACCAGCACCCAGGACACGGCTGGCCCTGGGCACCCCGAAAAGCTACGGCACAGGTAGTGCGAAGTGGAGCCCGGCTCCATCTCCCCTCAGCGGCACCACCGCCCGCACCGCTCCCCTCAGCGCCCCCAGGCCTCCCCCGCCGAGCCCCGCTCAAGTCGTGGGGCTCTCCCCACACCCCGCCAGTCCTCAGGGCTCCCCTCCGCGACACCCCCGGCCCAAGCCACCACACGCTCCCACTGCCGGGATACCCAACCCAGGTGTCCCTTGCCGCGCTGAGGAGGGTACCAGCACCGCATCCCCAGCGGAGCAGCTCACCCCGCCGCCGCTGACAGCCCCGATTCCGTCGAACTCCCTGCCCAGCCCGTTGGCATCGTCCAGCACGTAGGTGGCCGCCAAGAGCGGAGCGGCACCGACCCTGGGGGGCCCCGGGCCGCAGCTGCAGGCAAGCAGGATCGCGCCCCAGAGCAGCGCCGCGCAGCCCATCCCGGCCCAGCTTCGCTCCCGCGGCCGCCCCGGCCCCCGGTGCCTCCGCACTGCCCGGCAACGCGCGCACGTGACCGCGCCGCCCGCCTGCCCCGGGGCGGGGCGGCAGCGCCCGACACCGCCCAGCGCCGCCGTCCTGCTCAAGGGAAAGGAGGGCGGGAAGCCTTGCCAGCCTTTATGGGCAGCCCCGCCCGGCTGAAGGCTGCAGCTGCCATTTTGAGAAAGGGCACGGCGAGCTGGTGAGGCGCGTGTCGCCATGCTGGAGTTGGGCACTGAGCCGCGAGTGAAGCCATTGCGGGGCCATCCTGAGTGCGGGAAGGCCGCGTGGCTGTGAGGCGAGGCGGGGTTTGTGCGGGAGCGCGGGGGGAGCGGCGTTCGGTGCAGTGCGAGCAGCCGCTCCTAGGGGCCGAGTCAGGTTGGCTTTTTCGGGCCCTCTGCCTCTCCTTTCTGGGGTCTGCTGCTTGGGGCCTCTTAAGAACGGCATTTCCTAGTGCGTCTTTCATTTCCAGGCCCTCCCAGCCCCTCGCAGCCAGTTTCCTGCGTTTGCGCCGCTCTCAGGCTGCCACCTAATGCCCCGAAGGCTCGGCACGAAGCAGCGCTGTGAAGGAGCACATTCCAGCCCGCCCTGAGAAGGATCCTGGGTCGCCGCAGGGGCAGATGCTGGGAGCGGCTCCAGGCCCTGCCCGCAGAGGCTGCCCTGCCCGGGGAATCCCAGCTGGTCCAGTTAGATCCGTAGCTCCGTCAGCAGGGAGGATCCCCAGAGAGGGATGCTGAAAGTTGGGGTTACATTATGATGGGCTGAACGTGCCTGGTTACGCCTTCAGGGGCGCGCTGTAGGGCAGCCGAGCCGAAATGAGAGGAGCCGAGGTGGTGCTGAGCCGCACGCCACAGATTTCCGTGAGGACTGCCGGGGTGTTCCCTCACACTCCAGCTCATACATGCATGCGGCTCGGAGGAGAAGTAACCCGGAGATCGGCAATCAGCTTGATTATCGTCAAGGGGATCTCTCTTGTCTGTTGACCTTGTTTCATAAGAGATGCTTCATGTGCCTAAAGGAGGAATGAGCCATGAGGAGATGCAGTGGCTAAAGCCCTGCGTTGTGTAAGAGCTGTGAAAAACCCCGGCTTTGCACGCATTCTAACCATAAAGAATGCTGTTATTCGAGCCTCGGTCACTCTTATTGTCACTTTGTCGCTGCCACTCATTGAGGGATATAATGTCTCAGTGATGACATTGCCTGACTGACGTTTCCTGTTTATTTCTTTTTAAATAACAATACCAAGCACTCACAAAACATTTTGCACTTTACAGCAATATCGAGTATTAGCTAATGAGCCTGCTCACACCCAAATGAGCTATATGACACCATTATTACATGCAGACGGTCAGAATGACTTCCTCAGGGGTATTGTGAGTCAGTGCCAGAGGTAGCATTATGCTCCTGGTCCTATTTCACATTCATTCCAGCAGACTGTAGAGCTTTGCACACCTGGAAGGTTTGTAAAACCATTATGAATTATTAATTGATTCATTTTGATAGTTTAATTGATTACTGCATCATTTTATTTGATGTAAAAGGCTGCAGCTGTGAAATTCAGTCACTTATTCACTCATAGGATCCTAAAATTGTCCATTTTCAAAACTTGTATTTGCAATCCTGTGATGTGCCAAGTGCCCACCCTTTTCAGTTGGTACAGGAAAACATTCTCATAATCTGTTTTGATGGAAGGAAAAGTATATTTTGGTGTGACTCTGTCAACTTTCATTCTGCATCTTGAGCTTGTGTTGAACCATTTTTTTCTTTACACTGAAAGGAATGAGAAGGAGGTGTCTCCAAACAAACTGTGGGCTAGATATGGAGAGGTGAAGGAAGTAGTGGGGGGCACCATGAATTCCATAGGAATTCCACTAATTGACACAGACTCTTACTCACTCAAGACTGTCCTACATGTCTGGATTTAGAGAAAAAGAACAGACACAAGGAAAACGAAAAACCAAGGGAGTATACATTAGAAGGGGATATTACACATTTTGGGAAGCCTGTACCTCCCAAGTGCCTCAGCCTATGAAGAAAGAGAGAGGGAAATTTGGCCAGAAAATTAGGATTAAAAGGAGGCTGCATCCCCTAACAATTTTGAGAGATCCCATGAGGAATGATCTCTTCCTTTATTGAAATAAAGTTACAGGACTCCTGTCTTCTTTTTGGACATAAACCTCTGATGTTTGTGCATTAATTTTCCTGACAACACCTTTGTTCATGGACCCTTTGTAAACTCAAATTTAAACAATAAACTTATTGAGGACTTACTCATTGCTTCTTTTCTAGATAAGATCGTTTTCCAATGTTAATGCTTTTCTGTTTTAGGGTTGGGGTATTATGCCAATAATACCTGTTGGTTTTGGATGACTGATCTAAGATATGGTGTATGTCCAGAACTCACAAAAACCCTGGAAAATTGTGCTGCTTACATCAGAAATGAAATTTTTTGCATATGGACACAATTAAAAATTTATTTTAATATACAGGTTTACTTCTAGAATGCATAAAAGGCATCATCTCCTCTCTTGCTTCCTTTGATCTTTCGATTCTGCTGTCATCACAGCAAAGAACTGTAGAGATGTTCCAATTTTGTTTCTCTATTCCTGATAATTATAAGAACTGTTTTTTCTTTAGCAAAGTATAGGATTGCTCAACAAAACACCAGAACCAGCATACTGGACACTTCGTACGTACAATGTTAGAAAAAAGCACATGGAAAGTGATGAAACAGGTCTTCATGTGATGACTTTTCTCTCAGTGAAAATGAAGGTGTGAGTGAAATTTATTTTGGAAATTTATCTAAGCAAGTGTTCTTCCATTCACCGGACAGCTATGATAACAGTTTGAGAATGGCAACAAGTATTGGATAGTTTAGGCTTCATTTAATAATCAGATCAGTAAAAAACTGTGGATGAAAAGGTCACACTGACTGAAAAAAGGGAACCAAATCTCTGCATACAGTGGTTAAATATTATGGAGCCTGGTATTCTCAAGGAAGTCAGTATGCCCCTATTTTAGAACTTTTCAATTTGTTCTCTTTCATTTCTCCTTAGCATCTGAATCATCAAACGATAGTTTTAGTGTTTCTCAACAGAGGGACATTTCAAGTGAAATTGTACCCACTTTCTTAAAGCAGAACAGAATTTAAGAAAAAATACAATAAATTATTCTGATCACAGAGAGGGAAAAGAACCATGCTCGTGTAACAACTTTCCACCAGTCTAATTGAATAGAATTATCTGTTAAAAGAATCACTCCCCTGAAAACTGCATCCAACCTCAGAGTCAGTTTATATAAAAATATGTAAATATGTAACCTGTCGCCATGCATGAAATGCTGTTATCCTTTGTTAACTGGAACTATTAATGAATTTCTCATAAATTCTAAAAATACTTAATTCTTTTTCCACAAATTCCTAAAGCCATTGTAAAACATTTTTGAGCTCTTCTCAGGTGGATTCTTATTTGATTCTGTGACCAGTTTGTAGGGAAAGGCAGGTGAGGTCCCTCAGTCAACAAAAATCATACACATTTTTATCGTATACAAGTAAACACAAATCAAACACAGCACTTTATTTCTGTGGATTGGATTCTCTGAAGATCATGTCTCCTAGATAAGGAGTGTATAATATACTATGCTCATATAATTAGGCAATATTTTAAATTAAACTTTTATGAAGTCTCTAAAAGTATTTCTGTATCTACTGAGGTTGCTTCCCATCCTTTGTTCATAACCTTATTTACTCATGGGTAAGCTTAGATTAACCGGGAATTGGGGACAGAAAAAAAAAAAAAAAAAAAAAAGGAAGCAAAACCAAGAGATGTGTGAACTGCTGCCTGTTTATCTGCGAGCAGCTTCCTGTCTCTGTGTGATCAAGCAGAAGCAGACACTTTTCTTAGAAGCAGATTCGGGTGGCACTGCCAATGGCATAACGGGAACCGCTGCGCGGGCACACGTGGTGGCCGAGGTGAGTGCTCGGGAGCCTGGGACAGCTTTCAGCGTTCTGGGACAGGTTTCAGCCTGGCTCTCCCTAATGGGATGCTGACATCAGGCATCTGAAAAAAGGGACAGGAAAGGGGCTGGAAAAGATTGCAGTGGGAGAAGGATTATTTCAATCCTAGCGCAATCAAAACATGAGACTGAGGCAAAAGACCTCAAAAGATTGAATTAGGAAAGACATGCCTAGGATTATGAAAGAAAACTTGATTCATTGTTTGTTGTAATAGCATTGTGATGATCAAGCTACTGTTGATTACAAAAGGGGGAATAATGGAGAAGAACTGTATTTGGGGGTGAATTTTCAACACTCTGAGCTGTCCCATCACTGCAAAATGTGCCTCAGGCCTCACAGAGGGTTCCAGTAACTCTTCTAGTAGTGTTCTCCAGACACTGTTAAGATACCTAGTGGTATTTATATGAATATGCAAAATGCTTAAAACTTAGCAGAAAAATAACCTCTGGTAAAAGTAGCTTCTTTGAATGCCATGTATCATGTATGTGAAAATATATTGTACATCTTTCTGTATGCATAGAGGAAAACATGACACACTTAATGACAGAGCAAAATAATACTTGCCTGCATGGCCTACATTCTAAAAATATGTGGTATTTTTTTTTCTATTTGCCCACATTAAGTGAATGTTTATGCTCAGTTAAACAATCTGTAAAGTATATCTTTTAAGGCTGAGCTCTTTTAGACCTGTTTGAGTCTCTACAGAATCTCATGGAGACCTGTGGGTGAAATTTAATGTTGCATGAGGAAAATTGCTGCTAATTTTAAGCAAAAAAGGCCATGTTTCTGAAAGGAATATTTCCTAAACTGTGAAGTTTTTCAGAATTGAGATGTAAGATCTGCTCATTAGGTAAAAAGAATTAGCTATGCAATATCCCCTGTACTTGAAGAACTCAACTTGGCAATAGAACTTATTTTGACAACACAAAGCAATCTACTTTGTTGAAATTTCTTAAAGAGGAAAAGGAAAACAATCTATCTTTCCATCTTATGATTGATATACAGTATCACCAGTACAACAGCTACTGCAGTAGCTCACACAGCATTGTTCCTTTCTTCCCTTACAAAGCTCTTTACAGATAGGAGTATGGAATATCCTTTTGTATTTAAGCTTATGAAAGTTTAACTTTGTACTTTGCAGCTTTCAAAATGTCATAAATGAAGAGACCACATAAAGCTCTCTGTGAACCTGAAGGAGATGCTGTAGAAATGTGTTGATACAAATACAGTGTATAATGACTACTTTTCACTAAAAAATCTCACAGGTTTCCTTATAGGCTTGTTTGCATACAGTACTTGAAGCATAACATTTCTCTGGTCCATTTCTCTAAATTTTTTGTCTTAGTGACTCTTCAGAAATCCTGTACAGTAGGTTTTCTGTAGCAAAATAACAGAGTCAGGAACTGTGGTAATAATTGATTAACGTGTCTAAAAGAAAAAAATTACTGTTAAGAATTTTTATATTTTTTTATTTGAAACATCACTTACCAAAACAAGTTTGTAAAATAAGTCAAAAGTATATGGAATTAGTCACAGTAGGTTTGGACCATGAAAGTCAAACCATTAGACTTTCATTAAGTCAAAATTCCTTGACAGTTAAAAAAAGTATATCATTGGGGAAAATACTCAAATGTTGTTTTTTAGGATAGCTGTAAGCCAATACCATCCTCTTAAGCAAAGCCAGCAGGTGTGCTCAGTAGCAGAGAGAAAACCTGGGAATGCTTCAGATCATGCATTCAGGTAAGAAAAAATCATCTTGCATTACAAAGCCCTAATTATGAAAAAAGCACTTCAGCAAGAAAGTGTGATATGGACTACTTCCCCTGAAATAAGGCCCCAAGCAATTTGAGTGAAATGTGTTGTAATCAGGACAAAGTGGTGCTTTCTGCTTTTATATTTCTGTGCAAGAAACTGCAGCATGCCTTGTGGTAGGCTTCATTTGCTGGCTGTTTGACACATTTAAGTATAGGTCATCAATACGTGCCAGAATGACACACTTCTCGTTATTGCCATCACTGAAAGCATGTCCTCCTGTAAGTACCATCAATGTGTCATCAATGTCCAACATGGATTACCTGGCAATGCTGCACAGCCTCCAGGGCTGTGTTCAAAGGAGCTAAGGAACATACTGGTTAAGAAGAAAAGAAAGCAATGGAGTGCAGTGACTTGTGATTATGAAGGACAGAAAAAACTTTCTGAGGTGACAATTTTCCTGTAGTCTCAACTCACTTCTTTGAATTTCATTTTTAGTGTCCCAGCCTGCCATTAACCAAATTACACTTTCAGATATTAGTTCCTTAAAGCAGATGGCAGAATAGCAAAGCAAAGTCTTGCCTCAAAGAACATGTGGTTTATTCAGATAAGAGCTATATAAGGACAAGTGTTTTACCTTATCAGTAAGATCAACAGAGTGAAATTCTTCGAAACAATGAGCTAAAATAAAAAAGCTGAAAAAAATCCAAGTGGTATGAGGAAACTGGCATGTTGGTCTAAGAGTAGATACAAAAGAATCTGTTGTGGGTAATAAGAGAGAAGTAGGGAGCTTACAAATTTGGTGAGTCTGTAATACAAGTTGACAAAAGAGAAAGAGTTTATGGGGGAGGGAGAAGGAATTCCAATTTCTCAGTCACAGGACCAGGAAACACTGCCTCATACACTTGCTGCATTACACACATGCTTCTGAAAGGGCATGTTTCCCTCTTAGACATGAAGAGACCTGTCACAGGAAAAGAGATGCTAAAGTGTGATTAGGAGAAGAGGTAGGTATTTTATCTTTGATTCATCTGGTCTGTCTGCATACATTTGATTTCTCTTTGGTGAGAAGTGGGTCACAAAACCATGAGATCCAATTTCTAGAGCTAGATTTTTATTTTGTGATACTTACCTGTACTGATAAGCTTACAATGCCTTATTTACTGTGTGGTTCTATGAAACCAAGCTGAAATGCAGACATCTTATGCTTGTCTTAAATACAGACACTGCATTTTTTTAAATTAGTCATCATGTTGATGAGGTTCCTCAATGGACCAAATTGGCAAGTCCTTCTCAAGAATTTTCTTTGGCTTTCAAGCTTGCGAATGAGTTTAGCTCTAGCTGATCATTTAGGCAACTTGATTAAATAAGGCAGTGGCAGGTGAAATTGAGTATGTGTTTTCTGGGTAGTTTTGTCATTGCTCCTTTTTTTTATGAATAATAATGGAATAGGCTGTTTTGTGGACAAGAGATCCATATAATAACCTCTCAGCACAGACAATA